AGCGCACCCCGGGCCCCCCCAGGCCAGCAGCAGGGCCAGCGCCGAGCGCGCGGGGACGCGCCAGGCCAGCAGCTCCCACAGCGGGGACAGCGGGGACACTGGGTCCCGGTACCGGATCCATCCCCGGTTCCCGATCCCTCCATCCCCTCCCGGTACCGGATCCGTCCCCGGTTCCCGGTCCCCCCGGCCACTCCCGGTACCGGATCCATCCCCGGTTCCCGATCCCTCCATCCCCTCCCGGTACCGGATCCGTCCCCGGTTCCCGGTCCCCCCGGCCACTCCCGGTACCGGATCCATCCCCGGTTCCCGATCCCTCCATCCCCTCCCGGTACCGGATCCGTCCCCGGTTCCCGGTCCCCCCGGCCACTCCCGGTACCGGATCCATCCCCGGTTCCCGATCCCTCCATCCCCTCCCGGTACCGGATCCGTCCCCGGTTCCCGGTCCCCCCGGCCACTCCCGGTACCGGATCCATCCCCGGTTCCCGATCCCTCCATCCCCTCCCGGTACCGGATCCGTCCCCGGTTCCCGGTCCCCCCGGCCACTCCCGGTACCGGATCCATCCCCGGTTCCCGATCCCTCCATCCCCTCCCGGTACCGGATCCGTCCCCGGTTCCCGGTCCCCCCGGCCACTCCCGGTACCGGATCCATCCCCGGTTCCCGATCCCTCCATCCCCTCCCGGTACCGGATCCGTCCCCGGTTCCCGGTCCCCCCGGCCACTCCCGGTACCGGATCCATCCCCGGTTCCCGATCCCTCCATCCCCTCCCGGTACCGGATCCGTCCCCGGTTCCCGGTCCCCCCGGCCACTCCCGGTACCGGATCCATCCCCGGTTCCCGATCCCTCCATCCCCTCCCGGTACCGGATCCGTCCCCGGTTCCCGGTCCCCCCGGCCACTCCCGGTACCGGATCCATCCCCGGTTCCCGATCCCTCCATCCCCTCCCGGTACCGGATCCGTCCCCGGTTCCCGGTCCCCCCGGCCACTCCCGGTACCGGATCCATCCCCGGTTCCCGATCCCTCCATCCCCTCCCGGTACCGGATCCGTCCCCGGTTCCCGGTCCCCCCGGCCACTCCCGGTACCGGATCCATCCCCGGTTCCCGATCCCTCCATCCCCTCCCGGTACCGGATCCGTCCCCGGTTCCCGGTCCCCCCGGCCACTCCCGGTACCGGATCCATCCCCGGTTCCCGATCCCTCCATCCCCTCCCGGTACCGGATCCGTCCCCGGTTCCCGGTCCCCCCGGCCACTCCCGGTACCGGATCCATCCCCGGTTCCCGATCCCTCCATCCCCTCC